GCCCACCCAGCCTGTGCAGCCCCCCGTCCACCCACTTTGATGATCTGGTGCCACCCAGCCTGTGCAGCCCCCTGTCCACCCACCTTGATCTGGCGCCCACCCAGCCTGTGCAGCCCCCCATCCACCCACCTTGATGACCTGATGCCCACCCAGCCTGCGCAGCCCCCCGTCCACCCACCTTGATGACCTGACCCTCTTTAAAGGGCAGCTCTTCCTCCGCGGCGTCTGGATTGGGGGACATGGTGAGCGGGTCATAGTCAAACAGGGCCACAAAGATCCGGGCTGCGAGCTCATCAGCACCGGGGTCTGTCTCTGACTCTTCGCAGAAGTCGGGGGACAGCCGGTCTCGGCCCCCATAGTCATCTGTGAGGACGGGAGCAAACCATGGGCAGTGAGACCCCCCCGGCCACCCAGGGGTTCGACACGGCCCACCCCAGCACTTTGTGACTGTCCTTTGTGATAGGAATAGCTGAGGGTATGGACAGAGATGGATTTGAAAGTCAGTCAAGTGCAACCATGTGGACGTAGGGAGCTAGCCCTCTGTCTCCACGGCCTCATGGGGAGCAGGCCTGGGCCACACTGGTGGCTGGCAGGGACCAATTACAGCTTTCTAGACAAAAGGCCCAGCTAAGGTCATGCTGCCTCCTTAGCGGTGTATTTGCACATTTGTCAAAGTCTAATGCAAGCAAACAGGCTGTCCACTTAGACATCTCAGTGAAGACAGCCGGCTTTCCAGAGGACGAATTAGTGGTTTCCAGGCAGGAGCTGTTTCAGCCTCACCTACCACTCAGCTTCTGAAAATGATTTTGAAATCATACATGTGCCTCTTGAGAGACAGCACCTACTGGAATGAGGACGACTCGGGGCAACAAACGACACACATTCAGCACTGTAAGGACAGGGGTGGGGGCAGAATACGGCCCAGTCAGCACCTTGGGTAGCAGCACACGGTCAGGAGGTGGACGGGAGGGCTGCCCAAGGCCACTTCATGACTGGGTCACCTGGCAGGGCTGCAGTGTTTGATGGGCTGGTTTTCACTTCCACGGGATTTGGAGTGTAGCCCCAGGACTTAGCTCTATGGCTTTTCCTTCTCAATACAAGGGGACTCAAACTCTTCTTAGAAAGGACACATAATCTCAGTGTCATGACATTAAACTGTTAACTGCTTGAGTGGCACCGGTTCATTTACTGAGCACTGCTTTCAGTTGAAGGAAGGTTGGGCAATCTACTTCCGTAGTGATACAGCCTTGGAAACCCAAGGAGGGGTCGCTATGAGTCAGGTCTGACTCCAGGGCACAGAACAACAAGCTTTCAGCTCAGCACTGATGTTAACCGAGCGAGGGTTGGAACGCCAGCGTCGGCAGTGTTGGGAGGAAGGGGTTCTTAACGGGCAGACTGGCCTTTCCCCTCCCCTGGTTCTGGAAGACAGCCATCTCCAAGGGTCGTTTCACTACGAGGCCCGAAGGCACTATGTACGCTTTGCAGCACTGAAACTCACTCAGTGCTGTCGACTAGGATCTGACCTATAGCAACCCTTCCCTGGGTTTCTGAGGCGATATCTCTACAGAAGTAGGATTGCCCAACCTTCCTTCCGAGGAGTGGCTCGTGGGTTTGAACCGCCAGCCTTCTGGTTAGCAGTCAAGTGCCTTAGGCACTGCGCCACCAGAGCTCTCTGCAGCATTAAAGAAGGACTAAGCCCACCGAGATGAAGACGAGGTCCGGAACACCTGAGTGACCAGCAGCCACGGCTCCACAGCCCTGCCTGTTCTGCAGGGTGACATTAGGGTTTTCCGAGTCCAGCTGCAGGTTTTGGGATTTTCCTGCTTACTGAAAAGACCACTGTTAAGAACCTTTCCTGTGCCGTACACCATGTACCAGGAACAGTGTTAAACATCCTAACAGGTGAGACTGAGAGAAGGCCCTGGGAGGAGGGGGACAAGGCTGTGCAAGACTGCTGTGCTCGCTCGGGCCGCCTCCAGCTGGAGCCACGCTGCGAGGAGACCCACTCCAACGTGGGACGGTGCTGTCAGGTGCCAGGCGACCCAGGAGTTGCTCCTTGAGCCCTGACATGCCAAATCAAGACATGTTGCTCTTGTCTGCTTTTGTTTCATCCAGCCATTCTGCCAGGTTTGTTTCTCACGGGTGTGTGTTTCTGCAAAAGGCTACTTTGTTGGTGCTGATGACACAGTTCCAGTGTCTTATGCAGACATAATACTTTAGGGAACTGCTCATCACAGCATTCCAGCGATGGAGCTGTCCCTACCTGGCCTTCAGCTATAACTCCCTCTCAGCAGATGGACTAACCAAGCCACACCCACTGCGGTGGAGTCCATTCCAACCCACAGCGCCCCTACAGGACA